AGAGAAAATCAGAGGAACTTCCAACTAAAATCCCTTTCTTCACTGCTAAAAATCGGGACAAATAAGTTTGAGAACCACGAAATACGTTGTTCTCAAACTTAATTGTTGGATTGTGATATGGCTGTCAGGGGCCATCGAGTTGGCTCCCACCCACCACGACCTTATGCACAACAGAACTGAACCCTGCACATCCTGCAGCACCTTCACGATTGTTCCTGCCTGAGCCACTTGCTGAAGCCACAGCGTGCATCTATCTCTTGGAGGACCTTCTTCTGGTCCACTCCCCCTCTACTTTGCCAAACAGGATGTCCTCCTGCAGGAACTGGTCTCTCCTGACAACATGTCCAAAAAAACATGTACAATGAAAGCTTGTCATCCTTGCCTCTAAGCAGCACTCTGATTGTGCTTCTGTGAAGACAGTCTTGTGTGTCCTTTTAGCGGTACATATATGGTACTTTCAATATTCTTCTGTAGTCCACTATTCAAATGCATCCGTTCTTCTTCGGTCATCCTTATTCAATGTCCAACTTTCATATGCATATGCGGCAATGAAAAATGCCATGGCTTGGGTCAGGCATATTTTAGTTCTCAAAGTAATGTCCTTGCTTTCTAATACTCTAAAGAGGTCATGTGCCCCAGATTTACCTAATGCGACACATGTTCATCTCTCAACTGCTGCTTCCATGGGTATTGATCGAGTCCATAAATCTGATATTAGCCTATATGTCTGATATCAAGCTATAAAGTCCTCTTCAGATTCACAAAACACATGCAATGTCCCTGAATGCAGGAAGATCACAGGCCAGTCTGTGGAAGTCTTATAGATCCAGTGTCATTGTAAGCATCTCGGTGCTCGCAGGGGTCTCCACGTGTCTGTTCCAGCTCAGGGCACTAGCATAGTTCCATGTTTCTTATCAGTAGAGAGTCTCTCAGTGAGTCAGCAGAGAGAGAGAGAATGTTTCCCGCCTCCAAGGAGGAAAATACAAGAGTTCCCAGAATTCTCAGGAGAAGGCCATACCCACACAGAGGCCTCATTGGTTATATATTGATTGACAGGTCAGACTCCACCCCTTCACTTGTCATCTTCTCAAACTGACACCAGATTATGTAACTACCACATATGGTGAGATGCTGACACACACTTTTCCTGATTTTAAACCTTGCAGTATTTCCTTGTTCTGTTGGCACAACTGCCTCTTGATCCATGTATAAGTTCTACATGTGCACAATGAGGTGTTCTGGAATTCCCGTTCTTCTGGAATTCCCAAAGCTAGCCCCAGTTTTCTAGGATCCTAACAACTGAATGCCACGGCATAGTCAATACACACACTAAACATCTTCCTGGTATTCTCTGCTTTCAGCCAAGATGCACCTGGCATCAGGAATGGCGTGCTTTGTTCCATGTCCTCTTCTCTATCCAGCCTGAACCTCTGGTACTTCCCTGTCAATGTACTGCTACAACTATTGTTGGATGATCTTCCGCAAAACTTTACTTGTGTGTGAAAACAACGATATTGTTCTATAATTTGAGCAGTCTGTTCATTCACCTTTTTTTGGAATGGGTACAAATATGAATTTCTTCCAGTTAGTTACCCAAGCAGCTGTCTTCTAAATTTCCTTGCATAGATGAGTGAGTGCTTCCAGTGGCTGACCAGCTTTCTGAAATCTTCCAATTGGTATTCCATCAATTCCTGGAAGCTTGTTGTTGGTTGTGATAGTTTTGTGTCAATTTGGCTGAGCCAAGATTCTCAGTGGTTTGGTAGTTAACGGCTACTAATCCCCCTTAATGAGCTCTAACACAATGTAAGTACCTTCATCATGAAAAATCTGCTCTGAGCAGCTAACCAATTGAAAGGATGTTTTCTAGGAGGTGTGGCCTGCTTCCAATATAAGTGGGTAATGTGGAAATGGTTGCTTGGTTTGGTACATTATAAAATCTAGTGATATTTACCCTCCTAATCACAGTAACATTTTATCTCCAAGGCAATGAGGTTCTTTCAAAGACAACTTCATAGAAGCAATTACATTATGTATTTGTGTAAATGTAAATACAAGACCACTTCTCTTTGCAGTAGTTTATGATTTTTTGGACCAAATTAGAACTTTTAAAAATTGCCTTTTTTTTCAAATTGCCTTTAACATGTACCTGCTTTGTATTTTTGCCACACTCCATGATATTTGGAAGAGAAATTAGAGCTTTCATGTTATTATTTTAAAAAAGAGAAAGAACCACTTATATGGAGGGTTTAACAGGCTATTGTTGTTGATTTCCTTTCTTGAGATGGGCTGTGTATAAATAAATACAGTGGGTTTCTTTTATAGACAAAATCAAACAAAATAAAATAAATCCACATTACATATCCCTCAAACTTAGTGGTCTGAGTGGCTTAAAAAAAAAAAAAGAGGAAGAAAAATAAAACTGAATCTTGGAATCTTTAATGATAACAAATTCATCTTAAAGAGTTATTGTAATTTACTTTGTCATAGGCATTCAGTGCTATTTTCAGGTAGCACAACCTTGAAACACACAGGTGCTGTCACTGTAGCGTTCATTGACGAGTCTACTTGTGGAAGCTGGGTTCTGGAGTGTGCATCTTTCCAGAGAATATTCCACAGCACCTTTCCAGCAACCACTTGTTGTTTCTGACTCATGGAAATGTTTTGGATGTCAGATTAGAAACTATGATTCGCAGTATTTTCAAAGGCTTCCTTTTTTAAGTATGTTGTCAGATAACTATCAACTTGTAAAGGACCAGCTGAGAGCATTAACTGTTTTCACCGCCCAGGCTCACCTATGGCTATCTCCCCTGATTGTCTAAGTACATGATGGTGCACGTAACATTGAGAAGGAAGACTGCACCACAGCAGTATGAGAGTCATGACAAGATGTCCCTGCCCTGAATGTTCTGTATAAGATGGGGTAGAGGATGGAGCATTATATCTGTGGAAAAACATCTAAAACAAGAACTAAGATACACCTGAAATAAAAAAAATAGACACCTTTTAGTAAATAGAGAAAGACTCAACTTCTTTCCAGGTAGGCAACAAGACTAAAACAAATTGAGTTAGGCCTTCTGAGGTTGGGATGAGTACAGCCCCCTTAAAATTTCAGGACAACTCTAATGCCTACTGTGTTAGTCTGGGTAGACTAGAGAAACAAATCCACAGAAACTCATATGTATATAAGAGAGGGTTTTATATAAAAGGTAAGTGTACATTAAGAAAGCATCCCAATCCAGTGCTGTCCAACATTAGCCCCTATGTCCGACACCAATCTACAAAGTCCTCCTCAGTCTCACAAAACACTCGCAATGACGCCGACTGCAGGAGGAAAGCCGAATCAGTGAGCATATAAATATCTCAGTGCTGGCAGGGGTCTCCAGCACCCAGGGCTGCATCGGGGTAGGTCCATGCGGATACTCCTCAGGGATGTTTTGCAGGAAGTGAGCCTTGCCAGCTGAAGCAGGGAACTGGCTAAGACAGCTGCACCCTGGTCTGACCATCACAAAGCAAGACTTTGAAAGGTGAGGCTCACTAAGCCATTTATCTCTCTGCTCTTCAATTGATCCCACATGTGTTTATCAGCCAGGTTGGCACAATAAACCTAAACTATCTCACCTACTATCTCACCTACTGTTGGTGCAAATACAATCTTGATACTAGTAAGTTGGGTGCAATACAATGAAAGTTGCTGGAGATAGTTAAAACTCATGAAAAATAATGCAGTCAAGATCTTTGGAGTGGAAAAAGATCTGCTGGAAAGAATTTGACTCGGCTCCCTCTAGATTCCAGAGGTCTTAGAGGAGATAAAAAGACACTCCAATGACACAAAGGATCTGCCTTCCAATCTCTAACTGATTGGCAAGTATATTTCAGTGCTGCTAATAATTCATTGATTTACTCATAAGTGCTAATATTTATTAGACCCTTATTCTGAGCCTTTTTAGCACTTAGGTGCTGGAATTAAAACAAAATGTCTGTGCAATACATAGTTGTTTATGCTTTGCCATGGGATTTTGCAGCCCCTTTTATTAAAAAGACAAAATATTTTTCCGTATCCCTTGATCATGTGACTTGCTTTGGTCAATAGCATTTTATCAAATGTGAAGCATGTACCTGAAATTTGAAAATGCATTTTCACCTTTTGCTTCTATTTTTGTATTTTGTCATGGGAATGTATCATGGCTACCCCAATAATGAATTTGAGAAGGACAATGAATAGGAAGACAAAAAAGGATTGCTACCTTGGAATTGGGGCATCCGTTGGTAGAGAATGGTAGAGAATGTTGCATAAACCCTTATCTTGGGTGGGGTGCTCTGGAAAAGGAAAAGCAGTGAAGTTGGCGGATGCATACACAAAAAGAAACGTCGATCCAGAAAATGGATCAGGCAATTGCAGCAGTAGGCAAGATCTAGTCGACAGGTTGCAAGTGTGGGGTCAGATGTTAGGCCGGAGCCTTCTCCTGGCTTTCGTAACTTCAGAGTTTGACAAACACAGACTTGGCCCATCTCAAGAAAAGAAACCAAGAGCAATATCCTGGTAACCCATCCAGATATGTGATTCTCTCTCTCTCCTTCTTTTACAATAACATGACATCTCTAATCTCTCCTCCAAATATCATGGAATGTGGTTAGAAAATACAAAGCAGGGACATGGTCAAAGGCGATGTGAATAATTACATTTGGGTCCAAGAGAACCCTAAACTATTGCTAAGAGAATGTGTCTTACATTTACATCTCTAAAAAGACATAATATAATTGCTTCGATTAGGTTGTTTTTTACAGAACCACATCCCCTTGAAGATAAAATGTTATGTTTCACTGACTAAGGGGTAAATAATCAATAGGTTTTGTAATGTACAACAAAAGTAATGTTTTCTGCTTTCTTTACTCATGTAAAGGAAATCTTAAAAATTAGTACAAAATGGAGAAATAGGAGAAGTTTCCTTGTTTCCAATTATCACTTTATTTCTTAACTATTTCCAGCCCACTTTAAAAAAATGCTCACTTTGGCAGCACATATACTAAAATTGGAACAATACAAAGAATATTTGTATGGTGCATGCAAAATGATGAAGTGCAAATTTGTGAAATGTTCCATACTTTTCAAGAGAGACAATCGAACCAGAAGGCATAACCATAATAAATATGTACTTACCCAACAAAAGACCCTCTAAATTAATCAAGCATTTATAGAACTGAAGAGAGAAATAGGCAAATCAACAAAAATCATAGGGCTCTTCGATACACCACTCTCACTAGATATTGGTGATGCAGCTGTGTAAAACCTGAAAAGTCTCTTCTCTTTGGGGCTTACATACTAGGCAAAATATTGAACAATATAGAAAGCATCAAAAGAAGGTGGAAAGAATACAGAGTCACTGTACCACAAAGAACTAGTCAGCTTTCAACCACTTCAAGAGGTAGTATATGAACATGCAAGATAGCATATGACCAAGAAGCAATGGTACGGAAGGAAGGTGTTCAAGCTGCATTAGCCAAAAAACGAGGCTCCAGGAATTGATGGAATAGCATTGAAATGTTTCAACAAGCTGATGAACCACAGGAAGAACTCACTCCTCTAGCCAGGAAATTTGGAAGACAGCTACTTAGCCAACTAACTGGAAGAGATCCATTTTGTACACAATTCCAAAGAAAGTTTACTCAACAGAAGGCTGATTACAGAACAAAATCAATGCTATCACGTGAAAGTAAAATTTTGCTGAAGATCATGCAACAACGGTTTCAGCAGTATATGGACAGGAACCTGCCAGAGGTTCACTCCAGATTCAGAAAGAATGTGGATAAAGGGATATCATTGTTGGTGTCAGATGGCTCTTGGTTCAAAGCAGACTACCAGAAAGATGTTGATTTATGTTCTGGGTGTAGTAAAGTGATCAAAAGACAAGATGTATCAGGGTGTAGAGAGTTTACAGCTACTGGAGAAGATAAAACAATAAAACGGAGGATAAAAGAAAGGTGGTGGGACATAATCCTAGAGGAAAAAGAAGAAAATTGAAATGATGAGGGGAAAATGCTATAGAGAATCAAGAAGGAGATTTCCTATGGCCACTGGTTGTGATTTAAAATCCAAAAGAAAGAAGAAAGAGATTTAACGTAAGGTGATGAGGAGACCTCTCAAAGGGCTATGCAGGAGGAGCAGAAAAGGCACAAAGTGCTGCAGAGAAATGTAATATGTACATATTTAGGGGAAAGACAAGTGACTCCGTGTCTGCTTACACAAAGAATAGAAGAGACAGCATTAACAACGTTAGTCAAGGTAGAAACGTGACTTAGGGGTTGAAAATTCCATACAAATACTATTCTAGAAATAAAATCTTAAACTAGGTATTTTATTTCTCCTGCCTATGAAATTTCCAGTGTAACGGATGTTAGATTTGCCACTAAAATTAAGTAGGATATGAAGAAAAAAAACGTTAAAAACAAGAATATCTTCTGCTAGACTCCCAGTGCTCTTTGTTTCATTCTGAGTAGCAGCCCGTGGTTTTTTTCCTTTTGAAACATATATGACAAATTCAAATACATTTTCAATCTCATCAAAAAGTACATATCTCAAGCTAGAGCATCGTGACAATGGCTATATATCAAAGTAAACTCAAGTGGAACAGAGCGAATGAACGATAGAGCCATGGAAAGAGAAAGAGTAAACTCGAGAGAAAGCTAGAGGCCAAGCTTGCAGAAGAATGTCTAGCTTGTGCTACATTGCTTTTTGCTTCAGAAGTTGGAAGAAATACTCGTGGAACACCAGAGCTGTGCTGCTCCTCCTGCTGCTATAGCTACAAAGCCAGAGCAAAGAGATGAGAAACCTTGCTACATAACCCTGCTTGCTGGGAGAGTGTACAAATGGATCTATTTTTAAAACTGCACCCAAGGCGGATACTTGGCAAGAAGTCAAGATTTCCCCATTTCTGAAATGAAAGGACACGGCCTCTCCGAGAATGAGAGATTAGGGGACAATCAAAAGGCTGCTGCATTATTCCTGCAACTACAAGCCAGATGGTTTTAAAAGTTAAATGTTGCACACATGAGCAAGTTACTGCGCTAAATGAATTACTCGGGGATCTGCAACATGAAATCAGAGCTGTTCATGCCATTGGGATGGGTTGCACTGCATAAATCTGGGCATAAATACCAGCTCTTTCAACATTTTGTCTAAGACACATGTGGTGGCAAAGGCTGCAAACAGTGTGTGTTTAAGATGCATAATGTAATCTTCAGGATGCACAGGCAATGTAGAATCCCAAATCACGGGTGAAAATATCATTCAGGTAGAAACTGATTGACTGATAGCAAGTGTGTGTCAAAGTAGCTGAACCTTATATATCAAATGCTGGCAGACAGCACAGGTTTCAGATAGTACATATTCTAGAGCTAAAGTCAATTCGGTGGAGATAAGACACATGAGATCAATGTGGTCCTGAGCGTCGAATTAGGTGACTGATTCTTACCACTACAGTGCTGCTGTCCCTGTGCCTTCCTTGCTGCCTCCTTGACTGTTGCTGTAGGACCTCCTGATTTCCCCATGGCCCTTTAAGACACACAGAGCAATGGACTTTTCTAGAGGGGTTTTATGAATGAAAATAAAATATCCAGGGGCTAAGAGGGACTGCTTAGTATTTCATTCTTAAAACATTCACAAAGAGCCATTTGTTCCTAAGATGTCATCTCAGCTCCCTGTCTACATGCTGTGCCCAGAAACCATTTCTTGCTTTATTCCTTCAGGAAAGAAGAGGTCCTTTTCCAAAGAGACCAGTCTTGTTTCTCCATAGTTTTCTAAGTGCTCTGTTATTTCCTTGCTCGTTCCAAAATATTCCCTACCTCTCCTACTGCTGCTCAGGCTCCCGCCACCATTCCCACTGGAAGTTACTGCTTTTCTCCTTCCCCTGACAGGGACAAGCAAGTTCCTACCTCAACACCATCAATGGAACACTCTACCTGGGAACTAGGGATAAATAATAATAATAAGATAACCCCTTTTTATCTTCCAGTTCCAAAGCCTGCCTCGTTTCCTCCCGCACTTGTAGAATGATTGCCATTGGGAATGCACAATTCCTTCAACAGAAACCCATTACCTCCGACAAGGGTGAGACCAGATCACTATGAACTCAGAAGTCAATTGCAAAATGGTAAGACTTGGGAATAGGTTCGAGCTTGGAAGCATCGGCTTTTTGTGTTTCACTTATGATCAATTATTTATATTCCATTAGCTATATTTTGGTTATACTTCTCCCTGATGGCAAGTGAGCTTCCCTTCATATCATCGATTCATTTAAGAAAGGTTGACCCAGGGTCTATTCTGGACAAGGTCCTCGGAGAGAGGCTGAAGGACAGTGGTACAGAGACTTTAAAGAGATGCATCCCTGCCCTCGAAGCACACATAATTACAGAGAAGGTCATGTGAAAATATTTTAAATATGAGGGATTACACTATAATGGGAAGTAAAGAAAACACAAGTAAATGCTAACATTGTCAAGAAGGGAAACCTATTTGTAAGTACCTTATACAAAGGGGCTTCTAAAATCACTCACATCCAGGAAATACCTATGTCTCACTTTGGATTCTGACAGATCCAAAAGAAAAGTTTTAGATCTGATATTTTATCTTTTCCTTTCTTCTTTTTCCCCCCTCCTTAGCAGGCATAGGAGTAGGTAGCAGAAGGAGGTGTGGGAGAGAATCTCTGAGGAATCTTCTTCGAAAAGCCTGAGACAGCCCCGTGTGCCAGTGGTGCCTCTTCCTTAACCAGATTTGACTTCAATACACAGAGGGAATGCCATTCAATTATACAGTAGAGTTTGTATAAATGGCAGCTTGAAAATTATCATTTGACTTGCCGTTAGAGTAAATTCCATCTGATCATTATTAAAAGAGAACAAAGAAGGAATTCCCTTGGGATTCTAAAAAAATTTTTTAAAGACTTTTCTTCCTCTATTCTTCCAGACCTTCCCTCATTCATAAATATTTAAATTAACCCTAAATAAACATATTTGAGGATAATAAGAGACTTCATAATATCCATCTTCTTCAAATATTTCAACATCTATGACAGATGCCCCTTGGTTTACACTCATCTTAACTCATGTGAGAGGTCAACACAACGAGGAATAGGGTAAAACATAGGAACTAGGAAGATCTGCTATTGTGAGACTATTTCCTACCTTCTTCATGGACCCTTGTGCCCACACAGTAGTATGATTTCACCCACCCCTTAACACCAACAGTGTTTGCCCGTTGCTTTGCGCACAGGAGCCCTGGACCGTAGCAACTCCCTGTGTCTTAGTTTAATTGTTATCTGAATAGTGTCTTCAACTAAAAGGTTTCAAAAGACTCAATAACTTGCATTTATTTTGTTTTATGTGGCACTGGGCACAATTATGGTAGACATTTACTAAACACGTTTAATTGGTTTATCAAGAAAAGAGTTTTAGTATGTTTAGTTTTTGTTTTCTTCTAATAGCATTTTAGAATTTTACTTGTACTATCCTCTTAGAGATATTTTTTCCCAATGGAAGTGATTTTTACCTTAGTGGCTCACATCATTACCTGTTTATAAATTTGCTAGCTCCATTACCATTGTTTAATATCAACTTGCCTCTCCTTTTCCAAACATTAATGATTTAAAACTAACACAATTTCACTTAGGGGAGGGATCATTCAGTCTATCTGTTTCTACCTAAGTCCCAGTCCTTAAACAAAGAATGCTTTCAGAATGCCCTGATTTGTTTGATGCCCTTTTAGATTTGTAAATCTCATTTTGTTAAATAGCTCAAGCTATATGCCAACTAATTGATTCTACCAAGGTAGAAAAATTATATGAGAAGTTTCCCTGAGGAGCTGTGAGCAGAGGGACTAACATTTAATTTCTCAGAGTCTTAAAGTCTCCACAAAGCCTCCTTCTTTTCTTCCAAATTTATAGAATTACTAAGAGTAAGGGGAAATAATATACATCATTTTTAAGTGTCCTAGAATATAGCAGAAACCTCCAAAATTTCACATCTTCAAACAAAGATCTCAAGATTTCTATTAGTCTCCATATTATCCCAACTAGAATACAGGGGCTGGGTGGTGTGTTGAGAAGCAGAGTGTGT